TGCCAGCAATCGCAATGCTTTTTGGCCTGACAGGAGGATGGGGACTGCAATGTGTCGGAATCCGCTTCCTTCAACAAGGCGAGGGCTCAGGTAGCGGTGCAATCCAGGGGTGTATCCTGTAGACAGCAAAGGGACAAGTCATCCCGTGCCTTGTCAGGGCATGGATGCCAGCAGGTTGCCGCGCATTCACGGGTAGAAGCATACCACAAAGCATCCGGATTACAGAAAGTGACGTGAGCCCCAAAACTAGTCGGCGCACATATATGTATATGTCTCTATACATATATTTTCCTCTTGCTCAAACCATCCCAAAAACTCTAAGCATGAACTTGACTAACCACGAATGCTAAACAAGTCTTGAAGAGCTTCAACAGTTTAGGGACGTGGCTCCGGATCTCATGCATTCTTCGGATATCATCCATAAACCATAGGCCACAGAGTTTGTGACTGGTGGAACTATTCAAGAATGAAAGTGCTCTATGAGGTTCATGGCTCGAAATCGAGTCGATTTTCCGGAGCAATCACGCCTTCCCTCAAGAGTAACATCCCTTGATCCACCACAAAACGTGGATCATGGTGGAGAGAGTGGGCAAATACAGACATGGCATGGAAATCTAGGTAGATGTACATATATATAATATAATACTATATTGTATAATATATCATTATATTACATTCGATACTATATTCTATACTTATTCTGTTCATCGTCGCTATGGCTATTTTGGTGGGGTGTAGGTAGAGAAGCCAAAGACTTGTGCCAGTCTATGTTGCCCTCCTACGAGCCCGGTGACTTCAAGCTCGCCTGGGGGCCTAGAAGCAGGTCATGCCATAGGCAATGGAGGAATGGAAGGAACATGGAAACTACTATAGGGAATAGGGTATAGGTTTTAGTGTGGGGATGAAGGAATGGAAATAAGCATGAGCATTATTTTACACTGTTAGCGCATTGGTGGTTAGCAGGCAATGAAAGATTGGAAAAGGAAAGAGAATGAAGGTACCTTGTCACTAGCGGTTGAGGGGTGAGGGTATAGCGTTTAGGGTCTAGGTTTTAGGGTTTAGCCCTTGATAGGACATGAATCACAAGGTAGAAGTATAAATCCAGAATTCCAACATTATGGTCCTAGATTAGTCAGAGTGTAGAGTATCCCGGTCAGAAATCAAAATCACAATTGCAATTGTTCAGGCTTCTATAGTACCGACCCTTCCTTGGATGGTTGATTGTGCAAAAAAAGCTGCCAAACTTTCATGGTTCCAAGTTCCGGAATCATTCTAAAGTCGCCGCTGGAAGTTCATCAAGCTCATCTTACTCATGCTCAGCTGGGAATGGGAGACTGGAAGCTAAGCACTGCACTGTCTAGGGTGTCGAGTTTAAGGGCAGCTTTTTTTTTGCGTTTTGCGGGGTGGTTGGGCACGGGGAGCGAGTGATAGGGATCAGAGGGGGGCAATTTTTCAGTGAGGACCATTCTTGTGATCCATCATGGAGCCAAACGAGGTTATGTGGGGATATGTTGGGGCCTGTATAAGGGTTATATAGGGTTATATTGGGACAATGGAAATTAAGATAGAAACTACTATTCAGGGTTTAGGGGGTCCCTGTTTTGCAGCTCAGCTCGAGTAAGTCATGGCCTTGACTTCTCGGAAAGGCTGAGAGGGATGTTAATGGAACTTGTGTTCTGGGAGGCTTACAAGCAAACTTAAAAATGCGAATCCTCAGACTCCCTTGTTTAGTTCTGTCTTCCTCGCAGAAAGCAAAAAGGCTGACGTTGCAAAAGCAAAGCTCCAAGACTTATGCTGCCAGAGCGATACGCGATACTTATTGGTGGCTTTGGCAAATGGGGGACAGAATTCCTGGAGGAATCCGTTCATGAACCCTCGAAGTAGTCCCTACGCCCCATGCTTCGTTTTTCTGCTTTAACCACCAGTGGGAGCTGCCCACAGTATTCCTTGCATACATGATACTGTACTTTAGTAGGGACCCTTATGGTCCAGTCACATCACACTCCTCTCTGTAGAGTTTTCTTCTCTGAGATTTTTTGAAAAATCCGGAGATCGACCCTAGTCTGGGCTCCAGACTCTATCTCCCGATGAGCCCGAACGCACCCAGACCAATATCAGTATTTTTGCAACCCCAACCCTTTAAGCATGGGTGACATTGGGGTTATACAGGGGCTTGATAAGTAAGGATATGTAGGGCTTAGAAAATGGGGCTGTTGGTAAACCTAACCACCAAAATTAAGAACCCCATAGCTATCGTATGATTGAGATGGGGTCCTCATTTGGGAGGAGTCCCCAACATCCTCTTTTGAAGGGCATCCATGCCAAGGCACGCGCAGAGCTTATGCCAGAGCTGCTCATGGTGCCTTGGCCCCTACATGGTAGTTTCCCAAAATGATGGGAATCCCAATCTACACCCCAAAACACTATAGCCCTTATTATAGGGACCCCCAAAAGGCTACCCCTAATTTTCGGAAGCCTCGAATTCTGAACCCTTCACAGCATGGGTCAGGCGTGGCCTTCTCTTTCTTCCTTGTCATGTGCATGCCGCTAGGCCCAAGGAAGGCTCTGATGCTCACAACTATAAAAAGAATAGTAGTCCGAAGAATTCTTTTGCTTTTCTTTGTGATTTGCAAAGGCTAGGAGCTCAAACGGGAAGCATCCCAACATATTAATACTGTCCAGGTGTATCATCTCGATACTTGAACATCTCATGGCCCCAACCAGAGGCTACAGCCCCGGGGAGTAGGGTTCAGGGCAAGATGCTGCAATGGCTTGCCTTTGGCGGCCGATATGCAAGGTAGTCCAGGTTCTGCAGCGATCTAGATTCCCAGGCGGTGAGTGCATGCACTAGGCTTCTGGGATATCCAGCCTGGAGCTTGGAATGCTGTAGCATGTGTCTCAAGCCTGGAAAGCCCGACGCCATAAACCCTAAACCTCAAGTGCGCTCTGCGAGCAAGAGCCTCGCGCCTCAGGCTCCGGCCTTATGGACAAGTGCTGAGCCTGCCTACAGCCGGGGCAGAAGCTTTCTCTAAGCATAGGGAGCCGACCCTCAGTTGAGGAATATACCTGACACTATATGGGATACTGTGCCCTTTGGGAGTGGCCCGCCGGGTGCTGAGAGGTGCAACCGCATCGGTTCTAGAGATGTCAGGCTTCCCATTCCCTAAACCTAAGCTGCTCCTTATGCCAAAGCTCAATAGCAAACACAAAGTTAGGATTTTGCCTGCATAATATTCCAAGGGGCTTGAGATGGATTGTCAGACTGTTGCATGGCAGCGCATGCCATGGTCTCACCGCAGCTAGAGCTCTCGAAAGCCGGATTGCTGCTGTATGACACATCCGTACCCTCAATCCTGCGCACATGTTCCCTCCTTTCAGTGTTTTACCCCGAGACCCAACCAGTGTCGACTTCCCCTTTCATTGGGTGAATCAAGACTTGCAGCAACCCGGCAAACGCCTCACGATGCCACAAGTTCTCACCCCAAAGAAAGTGTAGGATCATGCAACCCGAAACATCGGACTCTTCATCAGAGCCTCCTCCGAGCAGCAAGCAAGTTAACGAACCATCGGCATGGAGTGCGTTGCGTCAAAAAGTGTGGGTCCCTCGCCATGGACCAAAGGTTGTGACGGATCACCCAACGGAAAGCACAAAACCCCGCTTCCCGCTCCCTCTCACATTCGATGCAAGGCCTTTATGCACTCCCACCCGCTTTCCATCCTTTTGCCCTGAACCCTGCGCGAGGGTTGTTTATTCAGTCCATCTGGCGTCGTGATTGGATTGGGGCTTAGGGTATGCTAGAAAGTAGAAAGTGTGCTGCTGTTTCAGGCCAGTGTGCCCTACAAATCTGTGGGGCTGTGCCTTTGAGCGCAGTTAAAACTTTAGCCAATGGCCTGACGGCGCAAGACGCCCGAGTCCTTTACATCTCGACCGGCCTACTCGGCTTCAGCCACATGTCCTCACGATAAGGACTTTCATATTGGGGAAGTACGGATCGCCGCTGAACTTGACTGCGGTGTGATCCCCCAAACCGTAAACGAAGTTGGCCTCCTGGCAGGTAGCAGAGTTCGTGTTCTCCATGTGGCTGGGCCACAACCGTGCAAATCCGACGCCTGCCGCCGAGTTTCTGCAGTAGTTCTGGGGTTCAAGGAGAGCAGCACGAAGGGCTTCACGAATGGAAGGAGAAGTGAGGTCCCACATATATACACACATGCACCAAAATATTGTAATCCTTACTGTTAGAAACCCTTCAAAAGGTACCCATGATTCTGAACACGACTAACTATTTTGCTAGGATCCCCAGATTTTGTCTTCACTGTATGCGTGAGCCGAAAGGTTCATCCCGGGTTCCTGATGGTGTAAGCCTGAAAACATGTGGCGGTGTTCGAAAGAATGGGGATACCCAAGGACCATGGGGATATTAATATGGGCTGATATATGGGGATTATGGGGGAGACCCCATCAACGATTTTTTGGTTTGTTTTGAGAAGCTCCCATCTGATGTTAGAGACACGGCAGAGCAAAAGACACTCAGCACTTGCGTGCTCCAAGTTTTTAGGTGGTTTTAGATCGATCTTAGATCGATCGCGCATCAGAAGCTGTTTCAAGAAGAATCAGCAGTCACAACTGACCATCCCAGTGTATAACACCCAAACATCCCTGAGGCAAAAGCTTGGCATGTCTCAAATATTACAAACAACTACACCCTGGCGACAGGTCCAACTGTTTGCGCTGTTAGAGGGCAGCTAGATCTCCGAAATGCCAAGAGGCTACTATTGCGGGAGGACATGCTCTTTGTATGGAGCATCGCGCAGAGAGCTCCAACACCATGGTCATAGTAGGAAGCGACATTTGTGTGGAGATTGCCAATGTCATCCTTTCCGCGTGCCCGAAGGACAACAGTAGCTAAGTTTTGCGACCCTCCTTTCAACGCCTGGGACCATTCTGTGGCGGAGGGCATGCTAAGACTATTCAAGTTCCCCCGACCCTTTCAAGTTTCTAGGCCTTGTGTCCTGTACCAGCTGGGCGCTTCCTGGGGTCCCGCAGGGCCCCCAGACTTAGTGGTGCTTTAGCGGGAGTAGCTGAGTGAATGTAGGTATCATTGTAGCGTCTACGGTCTCTAGAGTCTTACACATTATGGGCCTCCCTGTTAAGCCTAAGGGCAAAGAAGCAGAGCTTTGAAGGGATTGTGGAAGTCAGAGTTGCCATTGGATGATCAGTTTGTAGGTTCTGAAGCCCTCTATTATGCCTTCCCTTACTCCCTCCCCCCAGGGCCCAGAAGGGACCCGAAATCAGCTTTATGAGGATGATTCAGGCCTTACTTTGTCGTCTAGGGCTTCGTGCAACTTCCAGAATCTCAGGAGTTCGCAGTTCAGAAGTCTTCTCAAAGCAAAGTAGACTCCCCAAACTCGAAGTAATTGGAATGAAAAAGACCTATGGCCTGACCCTGGGAGTCTGAATCCCAAGCCCATGGCATCAACTACCTAAACTCAAGCCCAAGCGGCATTTGCCATAGGGTTTAAGATTCAGGGCGTAGGATTTAGGGTTACGGTATTAAGCTAGGGGGTACTAACGATACCCCTGAGAGAAACCCTCAAGCTGGACCCCCGGAGTCTCCGTACACCTCCCCATTATCCCTAGATTGCTTGGGGTGCGTTTATTGAGGGTTCATCTCCCATACGGAGGAAGCCCAAAACGGGACTTCAGAGTAGGAGATCTTGCGGGACCTCAGAGAGCCTCAGGGAAGCCCCAATAGAGATCTTCGGAAGCCTTGTGTTCCCAAGTCTTGTGGTCCCATAGAGATGAATTGGCTATTGCAACAATTGTAACTTCCTCCGCCAGGCCCTTGCCCGCGGGCAGATATGGCGGCTGGTAACTCCAGTGATGTCCCTGGCTCAGACAAACTCAAACCCGCAAACACAGTAAGGCCTTGTAAGGCCCGTAAACCCTGTAAAGCCTGCAAACTTTGAACCCAAGCCCTTTAAACCCCAAGCATCCCAAAGCCCTAAACGGTTCAACCCCTAAACCCTAAAGTGCTGAACCCGGAAGCTGCGGACGGAAAAAGAGAGGGCATCAAAGAGGGCAAGCAGTCAGCGTGCATGACCCCGGCAACAAAAAAGTCGAAACCCTGCACCTGAACCCTCAAAACCTTAAACCCCACTTACACTGTGTGGCAGCAGGCCTTGCTTTTGGTTTCACGCTGTGAGGAGGAGTCCCAAACAGTGTTCATAGAGACTGCCTTTCCATTCAAAGCTTCAAGCCAGAAAAATTGGTTGGGCCAGATAGTGCTTCAGCCCGAGCTCCACGCGACGGTTCTACAGATTGGAAAGCAACAGCAACCATAATCGCAAGAGCAGAAGAAAATGGTAGTATTATTGATGGCAACAGCTTCAGAACAGACACACATTCAATAACGATAGTAACAAGAGGGATGCAGGGCGCAAGCTTCACACCGCCAAAGCAGGCTTCACGCAAACTTGACCCACCTGCTCTTCAATGCCGCGGCCTCAAGACAAGATGGGGTTTCCACAAATTACAGCCCCTGCTTGGAAGTCCCCATACTAAGGATTGTAGTATGCCGGGTTCGACCTAGCCCCCCTGTTTGTACAAACCCTCCGAAACTGTGCAAGCAGACCTTCACAACGCACACGGTGCGCGCCGGAGCCCGCTACTGCGGAAGACTGAAGAAGCACCGCTAGCATCATTCCTTCCTAGTCCTCAGATAACACTTATGTGAATATTATATGTATATATATATATATAATCTATATGTAAGTAGGAACATGCAAGCCCTCTTCTTAATTCTGCCCTTGCATTCAATCCCCATTCTAAGCCATTGTATAAGCCCAGTTTTCATGTCATTTTCAGATTATTTGCAAGGCTTTGCTGGCAAGATTGATTTCCAGGTGTTCTTCCAGCTCCGAATGGGCTTTGGTATGGAGAGGCCACAGCGCAAAAGCTCTCCTGCGGATAGAGTTTGCCACAGTTAATTTCCATTTTGAATGAAAGGTTTAGGCGCTTAGGGTTTACGGCATTGGGGTTGGGGTTCATTCATGGTTTCGGGGTTAGCGTACCGGGATCATTACGGAGATCCAGGCTATGGTTCATGTACCATACTTATAGTCAACTAGGGTCTCTATGTCGGCCTTTGTCTTCCGCTTTCTGCAGAGAGACTTCCAGCAGTAAAGTCACATGCTGTGCCGGTTTTCCAGACATCTCATGATATGTCAGCCAATTCTCGCCCCGCACGTCCGGTTTCCAAAAGATTGGGTCCCTACTGTGTAATCATCCGTATTCTTTGAATCCAAATTGTGGGACTCTGCAAACACGAAACCTGAATTTGGCAACCCTACACCTTAACCCGATACATAGATAAGCACAAATGAGATCCCCGGTACATTCCCGCCATGACCCCTTTAAACAACTGCCACAATTTTCGGAGCGCCCCCCAGTTTGCAGAGCGGTTCTTTACAGGGAGATTAAAGGAATCCTCCAGGGGATTACGGGGCATGCAGGGTTTATTGTTTAGGCTTCTTAATTAGTGCCTAGGTTTGTGAGTGGTATGTTTGATGGGGGTTACTATAGTCACCCAGATTACGTGAGGTGATATCCTCCTTCTGTTTGTAGTATTGAATCCTTTTAAATGTCTTTCTTGGTTCAACCACCAAAAACAAGACTCCAGTGCCCAAACTGTGCAATACCTGCAGGCAATTTGGTAGGGAGAAGATGATGATGATCTACTTTGCGTTCCGGGCTTGGGAGTTCGGGGTAGTGGGTCAAGCTTAGGAACGTTTTGGTACTCCCAACCATTGATTTTCAGACCCTGCCATACTCATGTGATACATAAGGGGGCTCCTCACTTTGAGTGTCGGGGTTGCCAAAACCATCTTTTTTGGTAAGAAAGGTGTGTGAATTTGAGGCCTGAAGAGTGGTCACTATTATTGTTTCCGTATGACTTTTACACATGTACATTGTAATTTGCCCCTCCCCGTACCCAGCTTCCATTTCATTTTGCGTCTTCTTATCTATTTGATGCTCCACTATCCCAATTATCCCATATAACTTTCTCCGAAGTACAAGTGTACTTTAATCTAGTCTAACCCAAAACCTTTTTCTTGCCCCTACATTAGGCGCACTGTTTTGTGGCTGCAGCCCATTGGATCTGCGTTCCATGTTGGAGCCTGTCTATTGTAGATTTCTGAATCATTACCCGTATCATCCCTTACAGCCCATATGCACATAACGTAGCTACACTATAGTGCGTTCAAATAATAATTTTGGGATTCTACATCACGCATTTGTCTGCCGGCGGTCCCGAACGGCTTATCGCTGACACACTGCTCTATGTAGTAGGAAAGTTGTTTGTAGGAAGTTTAAAAGACGAGGGAGCTCCTACTTCAGAGCTTAGGGTTTGGGGCTTGCTGAGTGCTGAGTAGGAAATGGGGGAGAGGGTAGTAGAAACAACGCACTGGTAAGTACTGGTCCATGAACCCGAGCTGCCATAGTGTTTTCCATTCCTCTTTTCCATTCCTAGGCCCGAAGTCCCCCTTAAACGCCAATACGTTAAGGTGCGGCCTCTTCGGCAATCTGATGTCTGTAGCCGTGGACCCATACAAACTTGCCGTGCTGTCCTCGGCTTCGGACTTGGGTAGAGCCCCAGGGGCCCTCGGTCAGAACATCTAAGTGCCATAGGCTTGTTTGTAAGATATAAAACCACTTGAAGAAATCATGTCTAATTAGGGGGCTGACCTATTTGGGGGGCCCTGGGAACTTACCCTACGGGATCAGCATGGCTCTGCTGGCACATGTTCAAGGCCTCCAAGGCGTTTTGGCCACGGTTGCCGCATGAGCTTCTGCTGAAATTGCAAGAGCTGCCGGTTTTGGGGGCTCTGGTCAGGAAAAATCTTCAATCCGCAAACCCACAATGAAGAGAACCCACATTTTTTTAAAAAATTGAACCCTGAACAATTGTAACACAACAGCAAACCCTGAACCTTATCAAAACCGTCTTACTTACCCCTCAAGTCCCGCCTCGGGAGGTCGGCGCTTCGACTGCCGGGCTCTGTCCTCAGGAGATGAACACCGAGGTTTCAGGGCATCAAGGGTTTATCTGGGGGCTTATAGGGATATGTAGGATCTAGGATTGAGAGTTCTAAGGGTTTATTCTTAAGGGTTAAAGGTTCAGGACGCAGAGATGAATGTTCGGGCTTGAATCACAGGAGTTATACTGGGACAACTATCTGGTATTCATAACCGTTTTCTATTTGCCAGTGAAGCTGAAGGCATGGCCACTTGTTCTAACCTGGAAGATTTCAGCTTCAGATTCTCAAGCAACTCACCCTGCGCGGTCTGCCAACAGTGTTCTGAAGGTTCGGCTTGAGATCTTGCTGGTAAGAAGGTTGTTCGTTGAGGGGCTTGAAGTTGCGGGTTTCGGGTTCAGGGCATTTTGGGCTTCAGTGCTTAGCTTGTAGGGAACGCTAAATGCTTAACCCCAAACCATCCTAAGCCCTAAAACAATGCATTCACACAGGTTCGGCCTCATTGGAGTTTGGCTTGCCGCACGCTCAGGAAGCTGCCTCTGGTGCAAGACAGGGCAAGGGCGGAATGGATCGCAAAGCGGAAGTTACCGGTTTGGGTTTAAGGTTTGGGGTTTAGGGTGGTTAGTGGATACAGCAATGGAAAAGAATATGACGGCTGGTATTGTCATTGAGAGGTGCAGGGCGGTAAGTAGGGAAAGGCAGAAAGTTCTGTACGGACACATTATTGTAGTGGAGTTCTTTTCCCTACCAAGCACCAGGTAGGCAAGCTCGATTCTACGGCCCCAAAGTGAGAACCCAATGACTCTTATTGGGCCCGTATTAAAATCCACAGGTTCAGGCTGGAGTGTGAGGGCCACTCGCTTGGTACTCGGATGCATTTAACAGGAGAGGTCGGGCCTGCAACTTGAATGCTTGGATGTCAGGCTAGGGAGAACCAAATTGTAACTGGAGGGTTTACCATCGCCTCTCTAGGGTGCAGGTACAGATAGTCTACTTATTAGTGCTTAGTAGGGAGATATGCTCTACAGAATATATTCCCTTATTTCCTACTAAGAACCAGTAAGGGGCAGTGTTTTGTAAAATGCCATTTCAGATTGAGGCATCGCTTTGTTGTGGGCAGGTGGGCCAAAAGTTTGCCTCATGAGATTCGCATCCCTTCTTGGAGGTCTATGGGTAATTAAACCCAGAGATACTTGTGTTGATAACCAATGTATAGCCATGTTAGAGGACTTAGGGGCGTCAAATAGGGCGATAAGCACAATAGGAGTAGGTGTTAATTATTCATGGACCTCCAAGTGAATCTCAAAACCCTAGCACGCCCTAAGCACTCGACCCTTAACACTACCCAACCCTCCCGAATACCCATAACAAATACCTGTTTGGTTCAAGGCCGATTTTCTGACAGTTTCCACGACCGGGCGTTTCCCGCTTAAGCACCCCCAAATGCGCATAAACCCTAAACCCTAAAGCCTGAAGGGACTCGTGAGGAGTGATTTTCCACGGGGGAGTGCCTAGTGTTCTGGAAGAACCGCCCGTCCCATGTCGGACTTTACCAGCAGCCAGCGGGTAAAGGGGGCGCTTAAAAAAACAAAAAACCCTAAAATGCACTCGCAAATTTTTCAGGCTGAAATCCTCCTCTCTTGGGAGATCTTGGGGCCAGCGCGCGAGCGAACTGTGATCTGGACCGGCGCAACGTGATCCGTTTTAAAGGGGGGGGGGTGTGTATGGGCGTTCTATTTTCGGAATATGTGTGTGTGTGTGTATGTATGTATGTGTACATATATACATGGTATATATACGTATATATGTATATATGCGGAGTGTTGAGGCTTTCAGACCCCATTTTTGGAGATATGCACATGGTTGGTGGGAAGGGGAGTTGAGGGTTCAGGTGCATTTTGCTCCGACCGTTTAGGGTATGATATGGCTCGTATAGGATGTTTGTGACAGACCCCTGCGTTCCTTCTATACCATCCATATCTCCCTGAAATCGCAAGGCATCCCCTGCTTTGAGAAACCCTGTTGGCCGACAGGGGGCAGAGAGAGTTGAGGTTTTCTGGCATCAAGAGATGGCACTGCAACGGAACTGGACCTACATACGGGCGGGAAAAAACATGTTGTCCAGAAGCGAGCAGGCGGATTCTCAATTCAACCTTCGACTTTCGTAGGTTCGACATGGCTTGAGCTGACACATTCTAGGAACCTGCTGCCAGGATTGTTTTCATGATGATCTCGGTCACCACGATGTCGTCCATGACGCCGAACATGGACATCTTTGGGCCTGGACCTTGGGTGAGCCAACAGTTTATGATTTAACAACAAGGTTCCTTTGCTAACCCAACCATAGTTAAAGGCTAGCTTTTGTTGGCCTTGGGAACTCAGCAACTAGAAAGACACCACAAACCTGCGATCTTATCGTATAATCCAGCACAGAAAAGCAGAACAATCCCCAAAAGAAAAATCACATAGTAGCCTTTGAGTCCCTAAGTAAGCCCCAAACCCTAAGCACTAAACCCAATGCTTGAACCTTATTCCCAAATCCCTGAGCCCATGGCCTCTTTCGGCCTCTTTCGTACACTCATAAAAGTAAATTTTCCATTAAACCCTAAATAGTAGTTTCGATTTTCTTTTCCATTATCCCAATATAATCCCAATATAACCCTGATGTTACTCCAAGATCTTTCAATCCCAGGCACTTGGGTGGAGCCTTGGGAGGCTTCCTGCTGCGAGGCCCTCAGTAGACGACAGGTACCGTATACCAAAGATGAGGATTTTGCCTACATCATCTTTCCGTCTTTCACCATAATCTCTTCGTGGCCCCTCAAGGGCCTGACGGCCCCTACCTTGAGAAACTGACATGGTTTGTTAAAGGGCCGTTTCAAGTTCAGACCCGCAGCCACCGGTCTCACTGATGTGCATGCTGTGCGGCGGACATGAATGAGTTACTGGCACGGGATTGCACAGACGTTGGCTTTGAGTTTAGGGTTTGCGGTATAGGGCTTGTGCAGAAGTGAAATCTGTCGCATTGAAACGCCATATTCTCTTCAGAAGCCCAACCAAGGTAAGGGAAAGTCGTGACACCCTCTTGCGACCTCACCCCAAATGGTGGCATGTTGTCCCCAAATGAACTCACTTCAGGTTTTGGAAGTTGGTTTACCAACAGAATTTACTCCGTAGTATAGGCTGATGAGTTCAGCTTTTCGGGTTAGGGAGCCTGCCCAAAACCTTGAAGCCTAACTTGGGGTTCTAAAACCTCTTAAGGGGTTGTTGGGGTTCATCAGGGATGTTTCAGCTTTAGGATTGAGGATTTCAGCCAAATACATTAGGGGCCATCTTGTAACTGGGGAGTTTAAACAGTAGGGGTCTTGGGTTATGTAAGGGTCACCCAGCACTAAACCTGGAAACATGTTTTGAAGTACCCACTTGAAGTCCAGCGCGTTCGTCTTGAAGCCCTAGCGCGCACATAACATTCCAGCTCTCATTGCAGCGTTGCAGGATATGGGGTTTATGTTTGAGGGCTTGGGGGGTTCTAAGATTTAGGGTTTTAGGTTTAGGGCTCAGGGGTCCACCTCATCACCTACACCAGGCTGCCATGATAGATGTCATGATTCCACCCCAAGAACGGGGCCCCTAAGTTTTGCAACCTGAATCAAACAAATAGATAAAGTTGTATGTACATATGTATATTTTAATGTAAATTCCCCCCCAAAACCCCCCAAAACCAACAGCCCAACACCCTCCTTTGAAGAGACCTCTCCAAACCCTAAACTCTTGTGCGGGACACCTTTCTGTGGCGCTGCGGGGTTCGCAGCTCTTGCCCGCGTAGCCCTGACGGTGAAAGAACGCCGCGTTTGGCACTGAAAAGCACAAAAATCAAGACCTGCACGAGCGGCATGTCAAGGGTGTAAGGTTTGGGGCGTGTGGCTAATGGTTTAGAGGTTGAGAACTCAGAGTTCGAGTAGTTTAGGGCGGCCCCTGAAGATGCAAGCTTTCAGAAAAAGGTCCATTGCCATCAGCGACATGAAGGAAGAGGACAGACCGGAGTGGTACGACCAGGTGTCGCGGTCCGGTTTTGTGGGTGTTCCTTACTTCAAAACATCTTTTTTGGGTTCAAGGTTTTGGTCGTGTCCAATTTTTTGGCCAAGGTGTGGCTCTGTCCTCTTAACCTCATATATCGAATGGTTCCATGGCTCTGGTCCTCTGGGTCCTTGGTCTTCTGGTCCCCTAGTCCTGGTCCGTTCTTCTGGGCCTCTGCACTGGTAGTCCTATGGTCCCCTGGTCTTGCATTCCGTCGTCCGGCGGTCCCTTATCATTGGATCATCAGGCGTTTGCAAGTCGGGGGCCCTCGTCCTTCTTCAATGCCCTCGTGATCCTCACAGAGCAGCATGTAGGCAAGTGGAGGGGTCTGCACTATCCCTAACCCTCTGGCTTCTTCAAAGCTGTGCGTGTGGACACTCTGTTTGCCACAAAGGCCGGATCTTCCAATCATCATATGCTTGCAGATGTGGGGGTTGCGCCAACCCCCCTGCTTGTTTAAAGCCGCGCGTGCGCGCATCCCATCGTCATACATTTGCTGGTGGAAGGGAGCTGCACTCACCTTCTCGCAAAATTGAAGCGCATGCTTGCCTCAAATAGCAACATGTGGTTGCCGTGTGTGTGTGTGTGTGT